AGTTTTACATCACTGGGGAATGTCGCTTCAAAGACGCAGCACAGTTTGCGACGGCAGAAATTGCCCAGTTTACTGATGCACAAGCTTCCGTAGGCCACTGGAGATGTGCGAAAGAGTTGGGAGGCAGTATCTCTTTCACCTGTGTGCTGTCTGAGTAAATGAATCCCCACCCCCCCCACCCCGTTCAGACTGGTTTCAAGTGCACGACAGGGAAACAGGACTCCCGGAGCGCAACACAGGATCCCGCAGGCAGGCGGACTGGCTTTGTCTTCAAAGGTCACTGTTTTTCTGTGCTGTCTCAGGTTTTGTGTATTAGATGTCCAGACTCCACAGAGCAGGGTGTGAGCCTTAGAAAACCTGCCCCGTTTTCGGACTTTGCTAATAATTGGTGGCGTCTTGGGCCTGATTCCATGTGATGTGAGCAAGGCAAAAGGACTCCCCCGTGAGACAGCAGTTTATTTAAACTGGGCTGCTGCCCGGCCCAGACGGAATACCGGCAGAAATTTATAAAAAGTTTGAGGAACACCTCCTTATGCCATTTAAAGAAGTACTTCAAACGATAGTAAAAAGCGTAAATATGCCAGAATCCTGGGAGGGCGCTACAATATCATTAATTCACAAACCAGATTCTAATGAGAAGGAAATACAAAATTATAGACCGATCTCTCTACTCAACGCAGATTATAAAATATTCGCAAGCATTGTAGCAGCAAGGTTTAAAAAAGTGCTACAGCAAGTGATACATCAAGATCAAGACGGTTTCCTCCCAAAGAGGCAGATGAAAAACAATATAAGAACAGTTATAAATCTAATCGAATACTACGAACAGCACCCAGAAAAACAAATGGCTCTGATTTTTCTGGACGCGGAAAAAGCATTCGATAATGTTTCATGGGACTTTCTAAAACTGAAACTGAAGGCTTGGGATTGCGGAAACGACTTTTTGAACATGATAACAGCAATTTATAGTAAACAACATGCAAATATAGTGGTAAATGCTGAACTAACAAATAAAATAGAGATTCAGAAAGGTACCAGACAAGGGTGCCCACTATCACCACTATTATTTATCTTTGTATTAGAGTCCTTAAACGATAACATAAGACAAAATCAATTAATAAGAGGCTTGAAAATTAGAGATGAAGAATATAAACTACAAGCCTTTGCTGATGATTTAGTCTTCATTATAGAACACCCGATTAATACCGCTGTGAATTTGCTGAAAGAAATAGAAGCGTACGGAGAGGTGGCAGGTCTTAAAATAAACTACAAAAAAACAAAAATGTTGACCAAAAATTGTCCACAAAAAGTTGAGATGTGCAAATAGTAAACAAGGTGAAATACTTAGGAATAATATTAACAAACAGAAACAGTACGCTGATAGAGAACAACTATGCTAAATTAAAGGAGGAAATAAGAAAAGACCTCTTAAAATGGAAAGACCTTCAGCTATCCATGATGGGTAGAATTGCAGCGATTAAGATGAATATTCTTCCCCGTTTTTTATTCCTTGCACAAAATATACCAGTTCTTAAAAGGAAACAATACTTCCTGGATCTAGATAAATTAACAAGATCTTTTGTTTGGCATCCAAAAAGAGCACGAATTAAACTAAAGATACTACAGGATAAAAAAATGAGGGGTGGCATGGGACTCCCAAATTGGCAACTATATTTCCAAGCCGCGGCTATGATATGGATTAAGGACTGGATACAATTATCCAACTGGAGAACACTGTATCTGGAAGGCCACGACCTGTACATGGGGTGGCATGCGTACCTCTGGTACGGAAAAGACAAAGTCCACTCCATCTTCCATAACCACATCTTCAGAGCGGCTTTAATTAAAGTATGGGACGATAATGACGAAGGAAAAGGCTATATCCTATGATGTACTATTGGATGAAAACAACAAATTAAGACCTCTAGAAAGATTAGCAGGACAAAATATCTATCTAACATGGTGGGAGAAGGCGCAAATGCAAGATAGATACAATAAGGATAAAAATAGTGAATTCATAAGCAGCAAAACGGATTTAGACAAGATATGGCTATCGTCCAACGATAAACTCATCCAAAAATTATATAACCTTCTCTTAGATGATTTTCAACAAGACGAAATTATAAAAGATTCCATGATCAGTTGGATGAAAGATCTGGGAAAGACTATCCAAATGGAAGAATGGGAAATGGTCTGGAAGTCTATTAAATTAATGAGGGCAGTAGCATTTAAGGAAAATATATTTAAGATATTCCATAGATGGTACTGGACTCCAGAGAAGCTAGCAAAAGCATATAAAACAACGAATAAAAACTGTTGGAGATGCAAAACTAACGTAGGAACATTCATCCACATGTGGTGGAATTGCGAAAAAGTATTTAGTTTTTGGAAATCTGTACAGAATTTAATCGGTGAAGTGCTGCATATGGATTTAAAGTTATGTCCGGAGACTTATTTGTTAAATATTATCCCAAATGAATATAAAGGGAAAAATGTGTATATACTAACATATATGCTCACAGCAGCTAGAATTTTGATTGCTAAAAATTGGAAACTAGAAAAGATTCCTAAAAGAAAGGAACTAATAGAGAAACTTATGGAGGTTGCAGAAATGGACAAACTAACAGTAATTTTGCAAAGGAAAGATGATATGGTGTTTAAAGAACGATGGGCAGATTTCTATAAATGGGTAAAAGACAAAGTCTTGAAATAGACTCGATAGGATGTATGAAATACAAATGTAAAAGATGTATATCTTTTTTTTCTTTTTTTTGTATTGGAAAACCTAAATAAACTGTTCAAAAAAATAAAATAAACTGGGCTGCTGCCTTAAGAAACAAAACGTTCCCAAATACACAAATTCCACTCGTAGAAAACACCATCAAAGATTGCTAGAACAATATATTAAACCATTATAAAGTTGGTGGTGTCACAACAACATCATTAATGCATATTGTAACTATAATAAGGCATAAGATACAATATTTCCTGCTCCGATGAGAAGACATAAAGTCCATATAGTCAGTGTAACTTGATAGGAAGAGTCCACATAGTCATAGCATTTTCCAAACAGCCTTTGCGAAGACGCCCATTCTAGATACTTGGGAGATGCGTTTCCGTCGACTTCTTGTCAGCAAGCTGCCAAAGGTTCTTGTTATTCCTATATGATGTCGGGTACCTGAGGGACCCATCTCTGTATTCCCCCCCCCCTCCTTAGAAGTTCGCTGATTTACCCATGCGCATGTATTCATAGCTGCATTCTTGCATTCTGGTTAGTCTACGCCAGGCCTGTCTGCTGTAACGTTATCTTTCCCAAGGTCACAGGTTGTTCGAAGGTGAAGTCTGCTTTGCTTTGCTTTAGTTTTAATGAGTAGAAACTGTGGGAAGCGTTTGGTAATGATAACAAAGTTGCCGTTGCTTTCCCAGGGGTTTTGGGCGCGAAAACCACTCTTCCGAGCGCGAGCGGGAATCATGGCTATTGGCTGTATTGATTATGAAATTGCTTTAACCTTTCCAGCTCCAGGAACTAGCATTATTCTGAACAGTGTTCCTGTACAGTGACTCATGGCTTCAATAAAGTAACCCTTTCTATAAGGGTGTACTCCGTTGAATTGCATGGGGACCTGACACTTCTTCAGTTTGCGGGCTGTGTGAGCGGAACCCGATTTCTGCAATTTCAACAGACCACAAGGTTCACAGTGTAAGAAGTGAATCATCATAGGTTCTCTTTGATGGTGTTTTCTACTAGTGGGATTTGTATGTTTGGGAACTCCTGTGACACGAGTCTTTTCCCCCCTGTTGTTTGGATTTAAAAAACAAAACGGCTGGAAAGCCACTATGCAGTACCAGGGGCAGCCTAGTTTAAATGAGGTGCGGTGTGACTCCCATATGGTGTTTTTTGACTCACCAGTATCACGTTCGTATGAACCCGTAGGACAGGGGTTCCCATCTACACCTTTCGTGGGACCTATCAAGTGCTTTTAGAAAGTGGGCAGGGCTAAGTGGGTCTTTTGCCCAGCAGGGCTTCTGATTGGCTAGGCAGATCGAAACCCATCCTGTTAACTAAAGCGTCTGCCTGAAATGTTGGAGAGGTGCTATTCTATCTAATCTCTCTCCTGGAGTTGGCGCCACCTCCCGCAGCAGCCATTTTGTGATTGGCTCCACCTCTTGTGGCAGCCATTTTGTGATTGTGCACCTCGCCCTGTGTCAGCGTACCAAAGGTGCCCACAGGCTGAAAAAAGGTTAGGGACTCCTGCCTTAGGCCGTGCACGTAGCCTCTTTCTAAAGGTTTCCCTTGCTCGAAAGCTAGTCGAATCCGACTCTAGGGGGCGGTGCTCATCTCCGTTTCCAAGCTGAAGAGCCAGTGCTGTTCGAAGACATTTCCGTGGTCATGTGGCCGGCATGATTAAACACAGAGGCGCACGGAACGCTGTTACTTTCCCACCAGTGATACCTCTTTATCTACTTGCAATTTCTTGCTTTCGAACTGCTAGGTTGGCGGGAGCTGGGGCCAGAGACGGGAGCTCACTCTGTCACACGGCACTCGGGTCTCAAACTGCCAAACTACAGACCTTCCGGTCTGCAGCTCAGCGTCTTAACTTCTGAGCCACTGTGGACTCACAATTAAATCTAAGCAGTCCCCATTTGCAGGATCCGGGGAGACCTCCCTTTCCAATAAAATCTCCCGCTTTGGGACTGGAAGAAAGGGTGGAACGCCAGCCCAAGAGGCCCAGCTTCACCATGCACCACGGTGGGCTTTGGTAAAGTACCGACTGAGCAACCCCCACATATAGCAAGAGTGACGTCAAAGTAGTCTGTTGGAGACAAAAATGAAGAGTTCCCACACAGCAATTCAGTAAAGAAGTTATTTTATCATTCTCTTACCCATCATCTTTGTATTTATACAGACGTTTCTACTTCTCACTATTGCATACAAAAGTTCCACAGGAATCTCCATTGAATAGTTTTCCGTAGTTGATCGGCTGTTGGCTTTTGGCCAGCCTTGTACGCCTTCCCTGTGTTACGTTTTACAAAAATACCCTGCATTTAAATTCAATACTCATCTATCCTGAAATCTCTGCATGGCCGGAGCATCCACAGCGGGAAGATTACAGATGTGTGCGTATTTGGTCGCGTGATTAAACTGAAACCATTTCTTCGTTAGCCCGCGTGGTCTGGAGAGAACGAGAATTCCTCCGGCCGTAAAAAAAATAAATTACCTTATACGCCAGGACAAGCCATTCTTTTACTTCAAAAGTGAGCTGTTTCTCAGCTCCCAGCAAGCCGTTTCCTAGGACGGATTCCCTGAAGGCACAGAGAACAGTTTCCTCTGCTCTCTTTGGCAGGGAAGGGAAGCCAAGCTGGCACCGTGAAGAGCAGGCCCTCTTTTCTAGGGGCTTGCAGCGTGGTCCCTGCCACTGCCAGGACGGCACCGGGGTCTTGAATTCCCTCCGCGTGGCCTGGCGCAGACACGGCAGGGCCAAACATTGAGATGAACATGCCCCTAGATGGAGAGTCCCCACCTGTGGAAGCAGCCACTTGGATGGACCACGTCCGCTGTTCTGACTTCTTCAGGGGATTTACAGAGGGAGGGAAGGGAGGCAGGTGATGCAGTCACAGTTCAAAAGGAGGGCCTCGAGGTACCGCGCGAATAGAAACAAGAAGCCGGAGCATGGGCCCACTTGCCTTGCCTCCCTCTCTCTGCAAACCCCGCCACGTAATAATAACTTGCCTAGAAAGGGGGACCGTGGAATTCTAGGCACTCTTGAGGACCCGCAGCGGACCTGTCTTTCCTGCCAAATTCACAGGGGCGCGCGTAGGCCTGGCTGTTCTGCTTTAACTGGTCGGAACCCTGGGATGCTCGTGGCTTCCGCCGGGCCCACTGCTAAGCCGGCGGCCCAGTCTGTTTCCAGCCGCTCCTCCCCAAAAGAGCAGCTTCCCTTGCGGTGCCTTTGACGGCAATCGCTCAAATCACAGCCTCTGAGCACCAAGTGGGTGGAAGAGCCCAGCGGCTCCAGGGTTCCTGTCACAGTTCGAACCTCCGCTCTGCTTCGTCAGCAATCATGTTCGCGATAGCCAAGGAGGAGGTGGCCGCCGGTGAGGGGGCGTTTCTGACGTGGAGGATCCGGCTGCCGATCTCTCCCGTGCCGCCGTCGAACACAAAGTCGTCTATCAAGTTCCCGTTGCTGTCTAAGGCCTGCGCTCTGACGCCAGAAGGACCCCTGCACAAACAGAGGAGAAAGGTGGGCATTCAGAAAGGTATGGAGGAGGGATTCCTCTAGCAAGACTAAAGCACGAATGCCCCCAACGGAAGACTCAGCCCCAGGTCTGTTTGTCAAGGAACTCTTGGGCTTAGTTACAGAAGGGTAGGGGCAAAGGAAGAGATGGTTAGACAGTGTCATAGATGCAACGAACATGAAATTGAGCCAACTTCAGAGGACGGCGGAAGACTGGAAGGCCTGGCATGATCTGGTCCATGGGGTCGCGAAGAGTCGGACTCGACTGTGCGACTGAACAACAACAACAACAAAGGGGTGTTGGTCTAAAGCAGAAGAGCTCTAGTCGAGTCCAGCAACACCTTACAGCTGGGGCGTCAAACATAAGGCCCTGGGGGCTGGAAGCGGCCCATCTTATACGGCTCTTATACGGCCCATGACCAATTGGGAGTCGTTACCAGCCAAATATCAGGAGAAACTTCCCTAACTGTAAGAGTGGTTGAGCAGTGGGACACTCTGCCTTGGGAGGTGGTGGATGCTCCTTCGCTGGACGTTTTCAAGCGGAGGCTGGACGACCAGGCCCGTAGCTAACGTTTCTTCCAGGGCCCCCAAACTGAGCCTTGGCTTCCCCTCCCCCTGAGCTCCACAGTAGCAACATGCCTGTCGGTGAAACGGGGGCTGCATGGGATTGCAGAGAAGTCATTGCGTGGGACAAGGCACAGGATTCCAGCTGTGTACTCTGCAGCTCTGAAGTACACTGGTTTGCAGTTAGTTGATCAGCCCCATCTGAACCAGCACAGTCCAGGGCAGGGAGGAAAGAATGCACATTGCTCCATACAGACATATAATGGTCCAAACAAAAAAAAAAGGGCGGGCCCCCGGACAAAAAAACCCCCCCCCCCCCCAGCAAAAAGTTGCTAGCTACGGGGCTGTGGATGACCCTCTTTCGGGTATGTTGTAGGGCTCTCTTTCGGCTGTGCTCCTGCAGAGTGCAGGGGGTTGGACTAGGTGACCTGCAAGGTCCCTTCCCACTCTCACATTCGATGATTCTGTGATTCTCTGGTGCAAGGGAGGGATACAGGCGACTGCTCAGGGAGGGGAGTGGGTGGAGCCACTCCGATTGTGGCTTCATCACAGCAGAACAACCTCGTCTGCAGCAGTCGAGCCGTGTGCCCAGTGCTGCACCGCTGACTCCCCAGTCTGCCCATGTGGGTTTTCCTCTGCACTCCCCTCCCAGCCCACGAGGCCTTGCAGTGAGGATACGACAACTCGGAGTTTACCAGCTGCTGCCATGTATACAGTTTATATCTCCGGTCCCTGGCTTTACGTTTTATGGCACGCGTGGCCTGGCCTGACAAAGTGACATTTACGTCAGATCCGGCCCTCGTAACAAACGAGTTTGACACCCCTGCCTTAGAGACCAACAAGATTTCTTGGCGTATCAGCTTTCAAGTATCTGACGAAGAGAGCTCTGACTCTTTTTTTTTAATTTATTTATGGATTTTTCATTACAGAAAACAAAGCAGAACAAACAAAAATGTTCCTCTTTTGTACATATTATTTGTTGGAGCATATATTATACATTTTTTTTCATCCACTTGTTTACTTTATTCCACCTTTTCATAAATACATTATCATCTCTCTCTGCTAATATCAGATTTAATCTGTCCATTTCCACTATTTTAAGGATCTTTTCAATTATCTCTTCTTTTTTAGGTATTATATCTGTTTTCCATTTTTTTGTTACTAGAATTCTAGCTGCCGTGAGGATATAAAGTATAACCTCACGTTCGTCTCTTTTAATTCCTTCTGGTATCATATTAAGGAGGTAAGCTTCTGGAGTGAGTTGCAATTCTATATCGATTATCTCTTTTATGAATTTTTTTCCAAAATTTACTTATTTTTTCACATCTCCACCATATATGGTAGAATGTTCCTATATTCTTTTTGCATCTCCAACATGTTCCCGAAATATCTTTATAGCATTTAGCTAGTTTGTCTGGCGTCCAGTTCCACCTATAGAACATTTTAATTATATTTTCTTTGCAAGACGTCGCTCTTAGTACTTTCACCGATTTCCAGGTTTTCTCCCAATCCTCAATCTTTATGGTATGCCCTATATTTTGCATCCAGCTTGTCATACAGGGTTTTACTACTATCTCTTTCATAGAGTCTGACTCTTGAAAGCTCCTATACCCCCCCCCCAAAAAAAAACCCCAGCTGGTCATTAAGGTGCTCCTGGACTCGAATACTGTTGGGGTTCATTGCTACTCCGAAGCACCTCAGGGCCACAGCTTCGGTTTGCTTCCTCAATGATTATCTGCAAATGTTTTTTAAAATATTCTCTGAGTTTCACCTGCTGTCTCATGATCATTATTTATAATCCACTTTCCTCCCTGGGAATCAAGGAAGATAATGAGTGTGATAAACTTTCAGTCAATCTGTATTTATTTATTTATTTATTTATTTATTTATTCACATTTATAGGCCGCCCTTCCCATAAGCGGGCTCAGGGCAGGTAACAACTTGTCATTTACACAAATATATTAGGAAGAGAGGAGGAGGAGATTGGATTCATACCCCGCCCTTCACTCCGAGTCTCAGAGCGGCTTACAAACTCCTTTCCCTTCCCCTCCCCACAACAGACACCCTGTGAGGTAGGTGGGGCTGAGAGAGCTCTCTTGAGAACTGGCCTTGAAAGAACAGCTCTGTCAGAACTATGTCTTGCCCAAGGTCATCCAGCAGGTGCAAGGGGAGGAGTGGGGAATCAAACCCGGTTCTCCCAGATTAGAGTCCGCGCACTTAACCACTTAATCAAAATGAATCCAAGGTAG